CCTGCTCCCAGTCTTGGGGAATAACTGGGTCTGTGAGTCGAAGAAAATCCCCCAGGGGGCAGCGCTGTGGGCAGCCAGGCAGCATCAGAGGGAAAGGCTCCCTCCCACTTTCATTCCGGAAGAACATCTCCACAGAAAAGTTTCTGTGAACAGAACAGACATACGAGTGGAACTATCCCTGCCATGACCGTCAAGTGCCCACCTCTTTCCATCATCCTTTTTGCACTCTATAAAAGGGAACTACCTTTTTCTCACTGTTCTGGTAAAGTTGCACCCAGATACTTGGCAGGGTTAGGTTCCTAACCCCACTACAAAGGTGAAGGTTTGTGAAGTAACTGGGTGTATACACAGCTGTAGCAAATAGCTACACAGGACTGCTAAGGCACTCCAGCTGTTTGCTGTGGCTTTTATTTTAAAAGGCACCATTTCTCTGACCAGCCATGTGGGACAACTGATCAGCTCCAGTTCATCCGAGAAGTGGCACCATCCAAAATAAAAGTTGCAGCAAAGAGCTGGGTGGGTGTACTGTGTACTGGTATTTCCCATCTCTTTTTCTTTTCCCTACTTGGGGGCAAGGTAAGGGGTGCCACCATGAAGCTGGAGTCTAGCCTACATGTTTAACCTTTGGGATGAAGCTGATGCCCTTTTGGTAGCCCTCACCCATCATCTTCCTGGTACAGCTCAAATATGTGACATGAGGCATATGGTGCTTGCGCCCTGTTGTAGACATCCAGAGCCATTTGCAGTGCCACGAGTGTGGTGTCATGCTGAGGAAGAAACAGAACACATGAATCATCCCTCACAAATAGGAAAGGACACCTGGGACAACATCCATAAAAAAAGAGCCTCAAAAGGGACCACAGGCTGTGCTGGGCATGGGGGAGCTAACTCAGAACCATATCAGAGAAGGGAAAGCCTGTGCATTCCCATGCTCTGAGGACTCAGAGAAAGGGGAGAGGAATAATGATGCTAATATGGTGACTGGTACAGAAGACTGTACCAGAAAAAAGGAAGAATGAGATACAGCTGTACATACCAGCCTACCCTATTCCCCAGGGGTCAGCCTTTAGGGACCACTTTGCTTGCAACTCTGGGAGAGATGCTGGACATTCCAGCTCATCAGGTGGCTGGAGGGAGATAAGTGTCTGAATCTATCACCTGCTGAGATACCACACTGGAAAAGCCCCCATTCAAATACCAAACCTGGGGAGTAGTAACCCCCAAACCCATCTTTCTGCCTGTGGCTCAGCTACATCAAGGGACATATACAGAAGGGCCACTTTCCAGTACTCTACAGCAGACCCAGCAACAGGCAAAGCTATGTCTCCTGGATATGGTAGGCAGAGACTACATGGAAAGACAGAAAGGTTCAACACCACTACCAAGGCTCAAACCTACAGCAGATGGGAAGAATGGACAAGGGCAGCTCCCACATTCTGACTTACCGCTGAGTAGGCAAGCAGTTTCAGGTGCCGAGGTGCAGAGGTATTTGTTGCTAAAGTCAAGTTTTTCCTAATCTGAGCCAGCAGGACCCCTGAGGAACAAGAATGGCTGATCAGACCCTAAAGCTAGATTGGGCAGCAGGACAGCTGCTCAATGGGGCTACCCTGCCCCACCTCCTTCCCATCTTGTCCACTCACCGCCTTGCAGACGAGCTTTCTCCACCCGATCCTGGATCCCAAACAGGTATTCAAAGCCAAAGTCTTTTAGTTGCTTCAGCTGAACCATAACCTCTGGCGTCACCCATGGTGGTAGCGTCATCTTGTGTGCTTGCTAGAAAGTAATGGGATAGTAATGGGAATGGTCACTGTTTTTGGAGAAGCACGAGGACTAATAGTAAGATGAAAAACCAGGGACTCTGTTTCTGTATAAACACAGCTGGTGTATAGAGTGAGCTCAAGAGACATCTATTTTATGTGGGGCTGATTCTAACTTCTCGAGACTACACAGAGCCAGAAATAAAAATGCAGAGTACAAGAACATGAAAGAATCAGACAAAGCTACTACAGGCAGGGAAGATCAGGGCCACTAGCAGAATGCTAGTGCTCAGTGGCAGTCACTGCACCCAGGACAGGGGCCTAATAACCTCCATGATGAGAACATGGGGAGCAGGAAGGCAGGGAAAGA